AACTAATTGTACCAACATAACATGTACATTAAATCCCAAGAACCTGCTCATTTAATAACTGGAAACGTGTACCTTTTAACAAAAATCTCTTTTGGTTAAACTTGTATCTTTTAACTCAAAATCTCTCCAAATCTACACCAACCCACTATCAATCTAATCTGTTCTTTTGGGTTTGGCTTTTTCAGATTTCACACAAAGTGCAATTATAAGATAGTTGTCTTTTTCTGTCTGACTTATTTCACTTTCCACAATGCCCTCCAGATTCATCCACGTTGTCAAAAATGGCAGGATTTCTTTTTTTATTGAGGGATAGTATACCATGTTTGCATGCATCACATTTTCTTTGTCCATTCCTCCATCAATGGACACACGGGTTGCTTCCATGTCTGGGCTATTGTGACTAATGCCGCAGAGACATGGGGTGCAGAATGCCATTTCGCAGTGATTTCATTTTCTTTGGCTATACTCCCAGGAAATAGCATTGCTGAATTATATGTAGTAGATAAATTTTTAATTTTTTGAGGAAACACCATACCATTTTCCATAATGACATCACCAATTTACAATACTACTACTACTACGAAAACTACTAATAGTCCTTTTCTCCACATCCTCTTCAGTACTGGTTTTTGCTTGTCTTTTTGAGAACAGCCATTCTAATAGGTGTGAGGTACTATCTCACTGTGGTTTTTATTTCCACCTCCCTGATAATCACTGCTATTGTGCCCTTGCATGTTCTTGTTGTCATTTGTGTATCTTCTTTGGGGGGCAGGGGGGGCGTGGGGAGAAATGTCTATTCGGGTCCTTTATTCGTTAATTGTTTTTTTTTTCCTCCTATTCAGTTTTATGAATTTCTTACATATTTTAATATTAACCCCCTATCAGATATATGGAATGTCAATGTTTTCCCTGAATCCACTGGTTGAATTTTCAACTCGCTGCTGATCTCTTTGCCATGCAGAAGCTTTTTCGTTTGTCACCCCACTTGTTTTTTCTGCTTTCACTGCCTATATTTTTGGTGTCATCTCAAAACAGTCGTTGCCAATACCATGACAAGCCGATGTTTTCCTGTTTTCTCCTAGGAGTTTTACAGCTTCAGGTCTTATACTTAAATTTTAATGCATTTTAAGTTAATTTTTGTGAGTGATATTAAAGACAGGTGTCTATTTTCATTCTTTTGCATGTGAAAATTCAGTTTGCCCAACACCTCCTAGTAAAGAGTTTATCTTTTCTCCACTGAGTATTCCTGACGCCCTTGTCAAATATTAGTTGACTATATGTGCGTGGGCTTACTGCTGGGCTCTCTGTCCCATTGGTCTACGGGCCTCTCCCATAGTGTTTGGTTCCTGTAGTTTTGTAGTATTACTTGAAATCAAAATGTTGATGCCTCCAGTTTCATTCTCTTATAAGACTGTTTAGGCTACTCAGGGGTCTTTTGTGGTTCCATACAGATTTTAAGTTTTTTTTTTCTATTTCTGTGAAAAGTATCATTGGAATCTTGACAGAGATCATATTAAATGTATAGACATCTTTGGGTGGTATGGGCATTTTAACAACAGTAATTCTTCTGAGTCATGAACACAGGATATCTTTCCATTTATTGTGTCTTCTTCAAACTTTTCCATCAGTGTGTTATTGTTTTAGTGTACAGATCTTTTACCTCTTAGGTTAAATTTGTTCCCAAGTATATTATTTTTGCTGCTGTCATAAATGGGTTTATTTTCTTGAACTATATTTCATATCGTTTATTAGTGTATAGAGGTGTACATGATTTTTGTATACTGATTTCTGTATTCTGCAACTTTACCAAATAATTTCAGTAATTCAATAGTTTATTGGTGATATTTTTGTAGTTTCCTATATGTAGGACCATGTTATTTGCACCAGAGATAATTTTACTTCTTCCTTTCTGGAATTTGGATTAGGCCTGCAAGTACTATGTTCAATAGAAATGGTGAGAGTGGCCATCCTTTATCTAAAAAAAAAAAAAAATTTACTTTTATTTATTTAAGCACATAGAAACTGTGTTGCAGGTCAAGGTGCGGGGGTGAGAGGATTCACTAGAGACAGAGTGGGGAGCAGAACAATGAAATACACTGCTGAGGGGAGCAGTGGACATGAGACAGGAGATATATGCTGTGCCCTGTGGGTATATGTGGCTGGCAATAGCCTGATAGCTCTGGGAGACTTTAACCCCTGCACCACCAGAGAGGCCCTCTCCTTATTTTGTTCCAGATAATCTCAGGGAAAAATTTTTAATCTTTCACTATAAGTATAATATTGAATGTATTATTAGATTTGTCCTATGTGACCTTTAGTATGTTATAGTATGTTCCTTCTTACCCCACTTGAGTTTTTTTAATCAAGAATGAATGTTAAATTTTGTGTAGTACTTCTTGTGCATCTACTCAGATGGTCATATGATTTTTATCTTCACTTTATTAATGTGGTGTACCATATTTATAGATTTGCCTGTTTTTAACCTTCCTTGCATCCCAGGGATAAATCCCACTTGATCCTTATATATGGTCTTTTAATGTGCTGATGAAGCTGGTTAGTAGTACTTTATTGGGAATTTTTGCATTAATATTCATCAAGCATCAATATTCATCGAGCACACTAGTCTACAGTTTTCTTTTAGTATCCTTATCTGGCACTGGTTTCAGGGTGATGCTGTCCTTGTAAAATGAATTTGGAAGTGCTCTCTCCTATTTAATGTATTTGGAAAGTTTAAGAAGACCTGCCATTAGCTCTTCTTTAACTATTTGGTTGAATTTACCAGTAAAAATTGTGGTGTTAGGTCTTTCTCTGCTATGAGATTTTCAATTACTGCTCCAACTTCCTTAACCATTAGTGGTTTATTTGGATTTTCTATTTCTTCATGATTCTGTCTTTGTAAGTTAAATATTTTTTTTTAAAGATTTATTTATTTGTGCATACAGAACTGGGGTACAGGCCAGAGGCTCAGGGGCGGTGAGAGGCTTCACCAGAGACAGAGTGGGGAACAGAACAGGCAGATCAACGAAGTACACTGCTGAGGGGAGCAGCGGGCGGGTCAGGAGAAGTCTGCCACGCCATGTGGTCTCCTCCGGGGCAGGCAGGAATCGAACTCATGCGGAAGCGGCTTTAGATTCTCAGTACTGTGCTTTAACCCACTGCGCCACCAGGGAGGGCCGTAAGTTAAATATTTTAAGGAATGTAATAATTTCTTCTAGATTATCCAATTTATTGGTATGTAATTGTTCAAAGTAATCTCTTATGATCTTTTGGTTCTCCATTGTATTATTTAATATGCCTCTGTTCATTTACAATTTTATTTAACTCACTCAATTTTTTTCTTGGCTATTCTAGCTAAAAATCAGCTCTTTCACTGATTTTTTTATGTTGCCTTCCTTGTCTTTATTTTATTTACCTCTGCTCTAATCTTTATTATTTCCTTCCTTCTTCTAAATCTGGACTTAGTTTGTCCTTTTTCTATTACTTCAGGTGTAAAGTTATGCTGCTTATTTAGAGAATGAGGGTCTCAAATAAGATAATGGACACAAGCCATACTCAAGAGAACTAAATGAAGAACTGTTGTGTCTAGGGAGCACAACACAAATTCTTCAATGACAGCTATGGACAGATAATCCAGGAAATCTGGCAGGAGACCTACCAAAAAAAAAAATTGAGCAGTAAATCATAAGAAAAATTTAACTAATTAAACTTAGTTTCTAATGCCAAAGACTATATCTAACAAGAGAGAAATGAGGAAGCATACACAGAATCAGCAAGAACTTTTGTTTTAAAGCAGGTCAGTTCCCCAGCTCAATATATATTTCTTCACCTGTATTGCTTTTACAGATGTCATATTTTTCCTACCTAGAAGATTCTTCCCTAACCCAACACCTTTCACCTAACTTTCACTTGTGCTTCAAAATTCAGTTCAAGTATATACCCTATAGGAACATTCGCCCAAGTTGCCTCTGTAACATTTTTAAGTAACCAATAATTATTATAAAGCTGCCATTTGGCAGGCATCTGTTATTTTCCTCCTTCATAACATCTTTGAACTACAGAAAGTTCACTTTCACTGACTTATTTATATTTCTTACTTTGTATCCCTACCTACTATCCCAGAGTTTAACCAATGTCTCCAGGCATCTCTGGTGAGTGACTCTAAGCACCTATGAAGTATAAAGAGCTAGTGATCAAATGACTCAAAAATGCTGTACCCATAAAAGATTCAGAAGCCGCTGCCCTCAGGGAGCTCATAAAATACAGACAAAAGAGATAAATAATTACAGCTCACAATGGAATGACATATGTGGTAAATAATAGCACAAGCAAAGGAAGCTTCTGAGTATTCTGGTGAGGAAGAGATTGTGTGCACAGCCTTTGTTCAAAAAATAGGTGTTCAGCACCCTGACCTCTCTGGCAACAAACTAATCAAACATCACATTAGCTTTACAAACAGCCTGCACACCCCTCACCATTAGCTCAGAGATGTGTATAATTTCATTTCAGTTTTTTCTTCACAGACTTAAGTTGCATTTATGAAGCCAAGTACTCTTCCATTCAGTGGCTGATTTGACAAGCTAAGTTGAGACTAAGGAATGAGAAAGGGAAGTCAAAGGAAAGTGTGTGGCATCCAAAGTCTTTCATCTGCAATTGTGTGTAGGTGTTGCAATCATTCTATTGTTGGTCTTCAAGCAGCTGGTTTGGTTCAAAATCAAGTTTATGAACAGAAATGCTATACCCATAAAGGGTTTTCCCCCTGTGACTAAGCACTAAAATGGTAAGTACTAAAAAAAAAAAAAAAAAAAAAAGTAAAGAGAGATTTGTGAAAGTCATTCTGTCTTGACCAGTGTTTGAAAAGGGAAGCCAAGTGCTTGTCTGAGAGTGGGTGGGGGAAAATGAGAATTCATTAGGTGGTGGTGTTCTGACTTCTGTTTCAGTCCCTGATGACGCTCACCCAGCAAGTTTCTTCCGAAAGGGCACAGGCAAAATAGGAAAAGTACCTCCGCAGTTCATTCATAACTTTGAACGCCTTCCCCATGTGGGCAGGGTTGACAGTGATGGTCCTCTGGTTCTTCTCATCATCTCCAGCCTGTATCAGGGGCTGGGGGCTCGGTTTGATGCTGTGAACAGGAAAGCAGTGGGAGGAGAAGGAGAGGATCACATGTTGGTAAACCCATTTATCCAACTGCACAAATCCATGCATCTGCCCACCCACCAGGGGCATCTGTCAGTCTGTTTTCTTCAACAGAGACACAGTAGGAAAGGAAATGCATTGGCTCAAGCATTTCTGCACTATCTTACAGTGCAAAGTGTATTCATCTGATAGAAGCTAATTCCCAGCTCAGCTTCTTCCACCACCACTAATGTGACTTTGTGGGAGATCTCCATCCTCCAACCCCTCTCTCTCTGAATGGGGGGATGGGAGCAGGGAGGAGATGGAACACCATACCATTTAATTCACAGGATGTTTGCTCCTTCAACAAACATTTTAATGAGACTACTCTGTGCCAGGCACTGTATTTAAACTAAAAAGGACAATAATAAACAAGTGTTAGCGGATGCTCTTACAGAGCATAGACTTAAATGGAAAAGAATGCTGAGTAAACCTTTAAACACTGTTTCGTAAGTATTACTATTAAATAGGAATTAGAGAGGATGGGCAACTATCCAAGTAGGCAGGTTGAGGGAAAACTTCCTAGAACCTAAAGAAGAGCAAACATGTTAAGAAAGAGCAGGAAATAGCCAGGTAAAAGGAAAAATGGTGAATATTCTGGCAACAAAAACAATATATGCAAAGACATGGAGAAAAAGAGTCAAGGTGTTCAAAGTACTGGAAGTTTAGTAAAACCAGAGGAGATAATGAAGAAAATTGGCTAGAAGACTCAGTAATCCTGTAAGTGTTTACATATAAGCAAAGCTATGAAGTTTGGGTTACATTCTGATATTTAAACCCTCATTTTGATAGGATGCTGACTTTTACATCACAATGTGAAACGGGCGTCTAATTTTTTCCCCATAAGTTCTACTTATTGAACACTCCTTATTTCCCACTCATGTGCCATGCCACTTTAGGTCACATATGAAAGATCCAAATAAAAAATGATCTATTTCTGGACTCTAATCTCACCATTGGTCAGTTCATCTCTGTCCCAGGACCACAGCATTACAGTAGCTTTGTAATGACGCCTGACATCTGAAGGGCAAGTGCCCAATCCCATTATTATGCTTCAGACGTGTCTTGGCAATTCTGATTTCTTTACTCTCTCATACAATTTTTTCCCCTCTCATACAAATTTTAATATCAGGTTGTCAAGTTCCAAGGAGGATTCTGATGAATCTCATCAGATTTTGATAGAAACTGCATTAAATTTATAGATCAATATGGTTAAAACCAACACCTTTCTGGATATTATGGCTTCTGGCCATGAACATATATAATATCTCTCCTTTTATTTCGATCTTCTTTAATGTTGCTTAAATTTAGATGTTTTTCTGAATAAAAGTCTTATTCAATTCATTAAGTCATTTAAAATTTTCATTGCTATATCATAGTATCTTTTTAAAATTATACTTTCTGATTGCTTAATTTTTAAAAATTGATCTTATATTTAGCTGCCTTACCAAATGTTCCCATTATTTGTATTTGTCTAATAGTTCAATTAGATATACTATTTTAAAAAATCATATTACCAACATATAAGGCCAGTTGTTTTTTTTTTCTTTCTTTCCCATTTCTTAAGCCTCTAACTTCACTTTTGAAATAAATTTTGCACTGGCCAGGATGGTCATAATGTTGAACAGAAAGATGCTCCTCCTCCTCCTCCTATCTTGTCACCTTCCTTATTAGAAAGAAGGATTTTTGTAGATACCCAAAATAAAATAAGGGAAATTCCCTTTTGTTTTATTGAATTTTTAATCATAAACTTATGCTGAATTTTACCAAACACTTTTGTAAATCTAATGAGATGATCAGATGGAATTTTCGCTTTATTTTTTTAAAAATTTAGATATTTAAGCATACAAAAACTGAGGTACACACCAGAAGAGCAAGGGTGAAAGCATTCACCAGAGACAGAGCGAGGAGCAGAACAGCTGAATCCACTGAAACACAGTACAGAGGGAAGCAGAGGGTAAGACAGGAGAGGTCCACTGTGCCGTGTGAGTCACCTGCAAAGCTGGGGATTGAACTGTGCTGAGGTGGCTGTGGATAGCTCCTTAGTGCTGCACTTCAACCCCTGTGTCACCAAGGAGGCCATGGATTATTCTCTTTAATCTTTTGATGTGATTAAGTGATGCAAAGTATTTTTTCATACTAAATGATACCTACATTCCTGGGATGTCTAGGAACTAAAAAGCAGTGCACACATATTCAATATAAATGATGTCTTTGAATGGTAGAGAACCAGGAAGAGAAAATATAATTTGGAATTGATTAGGTAACTACTGAAGTTTTCTAACAGGAAACTAACAAGATTAGAGCTCATAAAAGGCCAGTGGACAAGCATTATTAATTTCACTTCACATATGTGGAACAGAGAGATGCAGATGAAATGAAGCCATTCTGGAAGCACCTCCATTGTCATCAGCCCCCCTTGTTGCACTGTTCTTTGTGCTTTCCAGCTATCCAAAATAGTCAAATGATGATGTGTTCCTGCTAAAACAATGTGCTTACCACAGGTCTCATATATTGCCTATTACCAGAGAGTGAAACTCAACAAAATGCAATTCACACTAAAGCTTTCTGAAAAAGAAAAAATAAATATGTGACTTAAAAGCCACAGGCCATCTGGTTTCCCAGTTCCATTCATCGTCTTTTCCATCCTGGATGCAGGGGCAAGACGTGACATCAGAAGGAACAAAAGTTCTCTTTCTACTCTTTCACTGCTCCTCTGTGAAAACATGGGGTCTCTGGAGTAGATTCTGGATCCCCGGTTATGGAAGACAAACATAAAAACTTCTTCAGTTGTTTACTACTTCCAAGGAGCAACAAGTTAAAGGAGGTTCCAAGGGCTCAGAGAAGCTAAGAATCTTGTCACACAAATAACAGAGATGGGACCTCAGTTCATCATTCTTTGACTTGAACCCCAAGCTATTTCCAACATACCCTTTATCCTCCAGCAGTATATTTACAGCAGTATATATGGACATATATGCACACATACGCCCATGTATTCCTCAGCCTGGGATCACACGCTCAGGCACAGGACCCACCATATTCCTCCACCATTTCTAGGACCCACCATTCCTTCCACTAAACCTTTCTCCTTCTACTCTTATCATATCTTAATGGGCTAGTCCCCAACAGACAGAACACCCATCAAGACCCAACCCTCGGTATGCTCAGTTTTGGATACCAGATAAAGCTCAGGGACCCCTCCCCTTCTGAAATGTGAAACACAGGCACATTCTTCCCATTCTCCTGTCCAAGTCCAAGACCACACTTTTTACCCTATCAGCTAAAATCATACACACACAGAGTACACATTCTCTAGACACAATCAGTCACAGTTGTTTTCTACTGAAAAACATTTACCATTAAGTGCTCCTACTCTAAGTACTAAGTCATTGATTTCTCCAAGAGCAAAGATTCCAGTTTTAACTCACCTTTAAGCCTTTGCCCCTCTTAAAACCACACCAAACTTCAAAAACTCTCAATTGCCCAACTCAGGAGGTTCAGCCTCCAGGGCTTCATGATGTGGCAAGAGGTATGAAGCCTACTGAACTCTCTTCATAGGTGACATTAATATATTTATGTTCTGTCCATCACACCTGAAACTCTCGATACTTTAACATTCAAGTTGAGTCATATTTAAGATTCAAATGGGTCACTAAGAATAGATGTGGTGAGAAAGTATGGGTCAAACAGAATCCTTATTCTTTCCCAGAGAACTAATACAGAAACTCACAACATATCCAAAATGAATGCCCCTCACCCTCCCTCAAGCCTACTCTTCTTTCTGTTTACTCTACCTTAGGGTTAAACCAACCACCTATTCATCTCTTCATGGCAGAAACTAGGATCCCACCATTAAGATCTTCTTACCTCTCTCACAACCTTCATACACAACCACAAGTCCTAACAATCCTATGTCCTCTACTATCTCTCCACCTGTTCCTATTTCATGATCTCTGCTACCACATCCTCAGTCTAGGCTATCATGAACTTTACCCTAGATGACTGATAACCTTCTCCGGCTCCAGGATGACCTTTATAGAATGTCAGTGTGTGCTAGGCATGTTTTTTGGGAACCTTTCACTGGTCCTCGACACATTCAGGAAAATAATCTCAGAAATCCAGCTTGGCATTCAGAATCCCATCATTGCCTTAAAGACCTGTTACTGTAGTACTGACTTACAACTGCCTAAATACACTAGACTCCTTTGCCCTATCCCCACCCAGCTTGTTCCTACCAATCCTTCAAGCTTCTTGTTGGAAGTCTTCCCTACCATCCTCCACTAGGTTAACTTTCTTTCTTCTGCATTCCCACAGTAACCTGTGCTTCCCTACATAAAATACTGTAATTAGCTCATCTCTTCTCCCCTACATAGTGTGTGCTGGCTTGGGGGCCTCCCTAGTGGTGCAAGGGTTTATTAAAGCGCAGCTCTATGAAGCTATCCACAGCCACTGCAGCATGAATTCAATCCTCCACAGAGAGGTGACCCACATGGCGCAGCAGACCTCTCCTGTCTTGTCCGTTGCTCTTCTCAGCAGTGTATTTCAGTCAACCCTCCTGTTCTGCTCCATGCTCAGTCTCTGGTGAATCCTCTCACCACCACCCCACACCCCATAAAAAGTACTCCAGTTCTTTTTATGTATAAATAAAAAAATCTTAAAAAAAAAAAAAGTTGGAGACCTGGCTTGTAACACTTGCTAATTTCCATGGTGTTAAGTCCTCCTACCGTGGCAGATTCAATCTACTAATGTGTTATCATTCAAATACTGATGGAGCTGGGAAGCGGTGTGCAGTAGCACACTGTTAAACCACTGCATAATATTTCTACTATAGAAATACACCAAACATTAGCTAAAAAGCACCAGTAACAGTAAAATAATTAGGAAATAACAAGCTCTGAGTATTACATTTGTTTTTAATATAACTTATCGGTAAAGTATATAATT